GTTGTTTTTTTTAATGATAGGAAAAATGGTGTCCCCTTGCAATTGTGAAGAAGCGCAAGACGCACTTCAAGAGGCCCTAGAGTGACTGAAATACATTCCTTTGATTGGAATTGTTGTAGGGGAAGTTGTGGTGGCTGCATAGGTGTTAAATAAAACTCCTCATATTGCTGCCAATATCCATCTTATTGAGCCTCCTTGGTTTGATTTTGTGAGCCCTGCACCAAAGAATTTATTTCATCAAAAATTCGATCATAATCTATTGATGAACTTGAGTTTGATTGAGCATATTGTATATGAGGTTGTGATGGCTGTATAGGTCTTGAATGGAACTCCTCTTCTTGCTGCCAATATCCATCTTGTTGGAATTGTTGAGGTTCTATGTAATCTGAATAATCTCTCCAATCCAAATTGTAAGCGTTCGAAAACATGTTGTCCCATGATTGGCTATGACCTTGATAACCCCAAGTATTGAATGCAGCAAAGAGTGGAGAATTGTGTAGATGATGTGTGTGTGTGTTTTGGATTGATATCTCTCCCTATGGTGAAAGGTGGATAGATGTATTTATAGGCTAGGGAGAGGATGTAGTGGGTGGTGGTAATGAGTGGATGTATTGGTAGGTGAATGTGTTGAGTGGTTGAAATGAGTGGATGTAGTGGTAGGTGAATGGATGTGTTGGGTGAAATGAGCAGATGTAGTGGTAGGTGAATGTGTTGGGTGGTTGTAATGAGTGGATGTGTTGGGTGAAATGAGTGGATGTAGTGGATGTAGTGGTAGGTGAATGTGTTGGGTGAAATGAGTGTGCTAAAATGGTTATTTATAGGGAGAGGATGATGCACAAACTTCAAATTTCATCCATTCCTTTTGCTCCAAGCATATGCTATCCATTCCATACCCAAAAATGCTCCAAAATGCTCCAAAATGCACTTCTTTGCCACATTAACCCTTTGGACCTACAAATACACGAAAATAGCTTAAAATACTAAAATAACTACGAACTAACAACATAAATGCCAAGAAACAAGCTAAATAAGTCGCATAAATATGCTCCTATCAATGTGCTATCCATTATTGGCCCAAAACTACTCCAAATTGCTCCAAATTGCACTTTCTTGCCAACTTTGTCATTTGAACCTGAAAACACACAAAAATAGCTTACACGATGTGTGATCCGCTAGGTTTCTTTTAGCGAGGTAGTGGGCGATTAGAACTCTTACTAAATGATTGTGAATTGAAACTTACTTTCAATTCTCCCTTTAGTGATTATACACCTTTAGGACTTTCACAAGCCATTAGTGACACCTAGCAGTATGTCATAGCTACCCAAGCTAATCAGAAGAGGTTGGAGAACCTATTCAATTTGGGATTACAATGCAATACGGTCTTTCTCTAATACAATACTCTTGATCACATTGTTTGGTTTGATAGTTTATTCATGTTTACTATCCAATGTGATTCTCTTACTTATATGATTACATTGAATGTGATTTGGAACAACTTCATAAATCTTATTCATACTCTAGCCAGAGATTCTTAATCATATCCTAGAATATTCTCCCTCAATGGTTTGAACGTTAAAGATCTCTTGTTGTGCATTCACATCACATGCCTCATAGTTAAGTGACCTTATCCCAACTATGTCGTGGATGCCCTCTGATTGAGTGCCTTTTAAGAATTACAGTAGTTCACCCTTCCTCATCAGGACCTTCCTTTTCAATCCCGTGACCCATATCTTCATTTTCAAGACCCTCATTCTCCTTCATATTCACAGCACTCGGGAACAAAAGCATAACATCCTTACGCAAACTGAACTTGATGACATAATCGACCAGAGTATCCTCATGATAAAACAAAGGCTCATCCTCAAATACCTTGTCAATGATGGAACAGCCATCATCAGCATCTTCTTCAGGGCAAACATGACCCTCCAATCTTCTCATGCCGTAGTAAAACAAACATCGAACAATTTTTCACCTCTCACTAGAATAGGATTATCTTCATCCTCGTTAACTATTAAAACCCTTTTCAATGGAAACCTAAGGTCCACCTCAAGCAACACCTTGAGAAACAGCCCATCCGAACCCAATGTAATCTCATCCACTTTGATCACTCTCCCAATAGGTTGAGTAATATCTCTAGTGATGCCCTCCTCTTTGTATTGCACATAGACCTGGGCAACCTAGCCCAGACCACAAGCTTAGTGACTACATCCACGTAATTGAATTGAGTAGTCCATTACTCCACGTGAAAGATCCACCTACAAACATAACCGGGTTGATTCTCCTTCACAAACTTCAGCCATTCTCATCAATAAACTCTAGCTCATACTACTTCCTACCAAATGGATTGAGATAAACCCCTTGTTCCTTTTGGTACCGTTTGGTATGTGGTACGGGACGGAACGCAGTCGGACGAGGCATTCCGTCCCATGTTTGGTGCGCCCAAAAACAGTGGAACGCGTTGTCCCACAGGAAGAAATTTGGCTGATTTTTCGTTCCACCTTCCCTCCTGGAACGACTGGTTCCATATCCGTGGAACACAAATTTTTAACATTTTAAGACAAAATTGCCCCTTATCTTTTTCAATATTTACACCATCCAAATCATAAAACAAACCCTAACCATCTCTGCTGCGGCCTTTCTCTTCCCGTCATCCTTCTTCCTCATCCTCATCCTCTCTTCATCCTCTCCCGTAGCCGGTGACTGCACCCAACCAACACGCATCAGCACGGAGCCCTAACTATCGCATTGCCAGCAGCACTAATTACCAGGTATGCGATTCATAGCTTGTTGAATCTCAGTTTTTTATTTTAATCGATGAATCTTTCTGATTCAATTTTTTTATGCTCATTTTGTTTCATTGTTTTGCATTTCGGTTGAAAGTTTTATGTGCCTCTCCCTCGACTCCAAAAACAAAAATAATCTTACGATGCGGACCCGATGCAGCAGATTACAACTATTCCATATATATTCCCTCACTTGAAACCCTAGTTCTATTTGTGCCTCTCCCTCGACTCATAGCGCCATACTGCTCTTCATCTCAGTCAGGTTAAAAACCCTAATCTCTGATCTTCCTCCGTTTCCAAAAATCCAAGATTTTCTAACCTAGTATTCGCAACAATGGTTAGATGGGTTTTTTCCCCAAATTTAATTTTACTGAACGCGTGATTTTGCTGTTGTTTTTTTAGTGACAGGAAAAATGGCGTCCCCTTGCAATTGTGAAGAAGTGCAAGACACACTTCAAGAGGCCCCAGAGTGACTGGAAGCACTGCGTCAAGGTATGAATCTCTGGCTCATTTCATTTCTGTTCATATTTATTTAATTTTTTGAATCATTACATTTATGTGGGGATTTCAGCACTAATGTATTAGAAATTTTCTGTTTTGGTATGAATTTTTAATGGGCTATTTGAGTGGGATTAATAAATTCATAACCTATTAAGTTATGGGTAAGTTGGGGTTAATTCACTTAATTGTGAGATCTGCTAGTTAATGGTGTGAAGTACTAGTTACTACAGTTGTCTTTGTTTGTAGTGATTTGGGTCCAATAAAGTTGACATTTAAACTTAAATCTTGAATGGGAGGTGTCAAACTGTTTTTATAATGCTGGTTCTGTATCGCTTTAATGATGTTGGGCATTGCAGTGGTCAAGTGCTCTTCACAACCTTGAATCATGGGACGTGTTCATTGCAGTTGTGGAATGATCATAGTTTTGTTTGTAGTTTGAGATTTCTATATCTCAATGGCTGAAAATTGAATTAGAATGTGAGAAAGATCAAAAATGACTTGTAGAGAGGCGATGAATTCATTGTGCATCTTTTCCTGATCAGCAATGAAAATGTTAATGTTCTCTGCTTAGGGTAGATAGTGTTGCCTGTTAAGCATCCATGATTCTACCCTTGTCTCCATGTGTCTGTATAGTCGATGCATGTAGGGTGATCATGTGGTTCAATGTCTTATTTCTGAGATATATTGATTTTCTTTCATTTGTGACCTGATTAAGTAACTCGAGGATGCATATTTCTCTGTGCATCTCCGCTTCCTGTAGCCTTAGCATTAAGTTGTTCTGTTTTAATGCATGTTGCTTATGGCAGAAAAGCTGGAGAAGCCCCAAGGGTATTGATTCACGTGTCAGGCGAAAGTTCAAGGGATGTGCATTGATGCCCAACATTGGCTATGGGTCAAACAAGAAGACTCGTCACTATCTGCCTAACAAGTTCAAGAAATATTTTGCTAGGTGTGTTTCCTATATGCTAGTCTTTAGAATTTTGGGAGAAATTTTATTCAGGATGCTACTTTTGTTTTCGATTTGGTACTGTTGAATTTTATTCAGAATTTTACTAATCTAGTCATCTTAGACGACATGAAGTTCTACCAATTTGTTTGATTTTGCCATTTTACTGCAATTCCTCGAGTAAATTTTCAGTTTTTATTACTCGTTTTCACTTTTACTATCTAGTGTCGCTTTTGAAGCAGCATATTCTGCCAAACGAAATGAATCCAATCAAAATATCTATGTTTTCCATTGCTGTATCCGTGATTTATGCTATAATTTGGAACATGTTTAACTTGGTTGTTCACCTCTCTTGGGACTGCCTTTCTAGGAAGCAATTATGCGCATGCTTGCTTCTACTAGAATTGTAGAAATGCTTATCTCATTATAAAGTTAGCTCATGGGAGAAAAACAAATAATGAATAAGTATATATGTGTTCAAATATGAAAAAGTTAAAAAATAAAAATAAAAAAATAAATGTCCCGTCCCGTACCACACATAAACGATGTACCAAATAACAGACGGAACATGGATAATTTAGTCATTTACCTTTTGGTTCCATTCCGTCCATGCGCTTACCAAATGCAGAACTGAACAACAATCTCATTGCATACCAAACATAACACAGAACATCAGTTCCGTCCCGTCCTCTCTGCGTACCAAACGGTACCTTTCAGAATTTGAAATAGGTGAAGCAATCCATAAATAAAAAAATAAAAAGAATAAAATCTAAAAATAAAATTAATTTCTCCTTTGTATTGGACTACCAAAATTTGTGTCATTTACAATATCATTTCGTCTCTCAAATCTCAGAAGGGCATGATATGAGTGGTCTTAGTATCATAACAAGAAATAACCGATTTCGAATTCACACGAAATATCTTGAGCAAATCGGCACACATTTGCCGAACTGCCGGCGAGCAATTACTTTGCATCAGCAGCAATATCTTGGTCAACCCATTCGCCCTCCCCACCGCCTCTTGCGCCGCCCTCTCCTTAAACAAATAGCACACGCTCCACAGTATCGTCACCGCTTGCTCCGTCGCCGCACTCGACACCTTTAGCAGCCTCTGCATGATCCCCGACACGCACTTCCCGTCCCCGCATATCTTCGCCCGCCCTTCCTTCACCGACGACACCGTTTCCAGCACCTTCAACGCCTTCTCCACCGTCGCCATCGTGGAATTGGGGTCCCACAGCAACTTGGACAGCTGTTTCACTGCTCCCGAATAGACCAATATAATCTTCACGCGCTTCGGCGTCGACAGGGCGATTAAGCACGAGAGACTCGCTTCGATGACCATCGGATCCTTCTCCCGAGCCGTGGATTTCAGCAGTTGGTGTAAAAACCCATCTTTCTCGGCGATCAGGATCTTGGCCTCGGCGTTTACCGAGATTAATTCCAAAACCCCAGCCGATGCGATTCGAGAATTCACGTGTCCATGTTGTGCAATGAGGAGCAGCGACGCCAAGCAATCGCGGCCGGTCTTTTTCAACATCCATCTCGACAGCTCCTCCCAGTCTTGGATTTCGTCCTTCACCAAATCAATGATCATCACGACTTGTTCGAGGACATCGATGTTTTTATCTTCGGCATTACCGCTGCCCCCGAGATATTCGACGAGGACTAGGATGAAGCCGGCGCTTTCGGCGAGGAATTTGCGATTGTCGTCGGACTCTCTGGCGAACCTGACAATCTTGGAAAGGGAATCGAGGGGGTCGGTGTCCATGTGGTGTATCAGGTGGCGGAGGTGGTCCTTGGGCGGTGGTTGTTGGAGGGGGGAAGAGGGTGGCGAGGAGGAGATGGAGTTGCGTGGGGGGAGGTGGAGGGAGTCGGACCAGATACGGATGAGGCGTTGCAAGGTGCAATTGGGGAGCAGGTCTTTGGTGTGGAGGAGTTGCATGGTGGCGGGGCAGGTGTTGTTGCCGTCGTCGAGCCAGCGCTGGATGCTGGAGCGGTCGTAGGTGACGCCGGTGCAGAGGCTCACAGGGAATTCCATCACGTCCAGCGATATCGGGCACCGGAAGATGCTGAGCACCGGGATGTATGGGTTATCGTCCCTCACCATCTGTGTCTCTGTCGCTGTCTCTGTATTCGCTTCTTTCGGAATTGTTGGGACAGACAGAGAAAGGGAGGATGGACAAGACAAAAGAGGAGTGGGTTTAAACAGGACAACAGAGAGAAATGAAGAAAGAGAGTAAGTAGTCAAAGGTACGCTGATGTCAGCCACTTTACTTTACTCTGAATTTTGTATATTTTTAATAAAATAAAAAATAAAAAATATTCTCTACTACTTGGTTCTTGGCTGTTTGCCTGATATTCTTTCAAAGTAAAGCTCTTCGTGATATAATTCGGTAAATTTCTTGTCTACATTTGGTGCAATGCTATCCACACTTTTTTTTTTATTTCTCACACATCTCTTGTTAATTTATGTCTATTGATCTTCTTCATTTCGTCTAATCTGACGGCCGAAATTAGAAAGGTGTGTGAGAAGTAAAAATCATGTATGGATATCACACCCCTTAGCGCAAATGTGTAAAAAAAAAAATTAGAATTTTATATGTGCGTTTCTTGATTAAAAAAATAACTTTTATATGCACATAAGCGCATGTAAAAAAACTAATAATATTATTATTAGATGACATTGGATTAATAAAATGAGATGCTCGTAACGGTGAATCGGCTCTTGCAGGTTGCAGCTGTATGTACACTATTGCAATCTGCCAATCACAGCCGTTGGGTGAGTAGGAGTAAGGATGATTAGGATCGACGTGGGGCTAGGATATGAGGATGTAGAATAACACGACTACTACACACGTGGGATAGACTGCCTTTTAATTAACAAGCGTACAATGGAGAGGAACGTGGGGTGGGGAATGCGGGGACCATGAAGGAATGGGCAACGAAGTGGAGCGGTGGCGCCCACCATGGCATTCGGTTGGTCTGTCTTATTGGGTATTACATCATCATCGTCATCTTCCTGGACGGATATTGGTGGGAGAATCGAGACTTCATAGTATGATTTTCTCTTTTTCTTTCTTCTATTCTCTTTTTTCTAATTTAATACAATTAATATGCGTTAACATCTTATTTTAAACTAGCCTCTCTGCACGCACTAGCTTGCGTGCGAGAGACATTTTTACATCACGGGCGCTACGCGCCTGTAAATGTGTATTGTGTTAGTTTTTTTTCCATTGTAATTGTTAATGTATATGGTTTAGAAAGTATGATATGGCTGCACATAACAGGAAGCAATAAATTTGAAGTTGTTGACGTGGATACTCTCTCACACACAGCAGTGCCTATTACAGTGTCCTCACGTGCGTGCGAAAGACATTTTTTTCATCACGGCGTGCTACGCGCGACTTACACATTTTAGATGTATTTATATGCGAGGATTGGTTCAATGTATAGAAACATAAAATAAATGAAGAAAACTGAAACCTCAGAATTTGCGCAAAAGAATTATTACTTTCTTACAGAAAAGCCTGAAAAGAATAACTCTAAATTACTTACCTCTATTACCAAAATGTTACAATAGCAGAGAAAAAGGCCCCAAAAAATGAAGAACCACAACTCCTGGAATAAAAAAGAAAACCACCCTTAACTTTACTTTCTTTCATAAAAAAACCTTACCTTAATTTTCCCACATAAGCATTGGTTCGTTGGGATATGTCATCAGCATCAAGTGATATTATAATTTATTTATATACTCGGTGTGAGAGCCATGCCTATATCTCCGTGCAACTAAAAGAAACTTTCGCTTATTGGTGAATGCTGGACGAAGAGAGGTAAAAAATCGCATGAGAATAAGAAACCATTCAACAATAAGCATCATGCAAGCTGTCAAGAACCACTAATAAAAGTATCAAATAACACAAAAGATCAACTGCATTGTATACAATAGGAGAATGAGAATTAAGAAGGCAGCAAGGAACAAAGAAAATGAAAAGAGTGAAAAATAAAAACTGGATTGATGGTGTAAAACGGAAGTATCGGAGTTAGTTGGAGACTTCCATACCTCAAACCGAAGGCGGCGTGCTGTCTAGTAGTCCAAACCTTGATCCTTGATAAATTGAACTTCCTTCTTTCATCTAACAATCGAAAAATAGATAAATAAGGCAGTATGTCATCGCAATACAACACCCCTATACGTACACACACATACCAAAACAGCCTACATTCAGATTTGCATCATATCCTTGTTTCTAGCTCTTTGAGGAATTTTCACAAACACCTAGTAGTCCAATACAATCGTTCATTCTATCATGTTTCCTGCGAAAGATGGTAGCACCTAAACCAAATGCAGCTATATAATACCATGACTTGAAAAATAAGGAAACATAGAAAATTTCATAAGGTACTTAAGATTATAAAGTCACACCAAAGAGATATTTTTAGATACAAATCCCCCACATCTATTAAGAAAGCAACCATAATTTGGGAAAGGAAAACACGCAGGTATCCTAATTTTTCAAAAATAAAAGGATTAATAGGAAGATCAACCTGGAAAACACATAACCCAATGTAATTAGACAGACCCCTTTGCAAAAATCAAATCTTGGAACATCCAAAAGGTTCAAAAAAACAAAAACCCAATTGCAAAATTCAAATTTGCAGCAATCAGAATGTTCATGGAATAAAACCCATCACCATTAAAAAAAATTAAAAAAATTAAAAAAAGCAAATAAATAAAAAATAAAACTCCTTTTGCAGATACAATTCAATCCTGAAGTAATCAGAAGATTCAAAACACTGCAGAAAGCAAATAAATTTCAGAAACAAAATTACAGATACATAGATTTTCAAATTAAAAAGTACCTGAGAGAGGTGGGAAGGAAGTGGAAGGAGAGAGATGGAGATTGATCTTGGTGGGTGGACAGAGACAGGTAACAAATTTCACAGCAAAACGACGGCGTTTGGTTGCCGGCCGAATGCCTACCTGGGATAAGGTGATGTCTCGGGTATTGTAATTGGAGTGATCGCTCCGGCGGTGGCGGCGGCCTCGCAGTCGTAGTGCTCTCGGTATCTCTGTCTCTCTCTGGTTCGTACTAATTTGTGGATGGTCTCTTTACAGCAACCTTAATTCACTGGATTACTGATTAAACACACAAATAGATTACAACAACCTTAATTCACTCGACTTACACATTCAAACTATCGATTAGTCTCTGGGGAATTTTCACAAACACCTAATATGCAAGATTCCAGACACCAAATTAATCTTAAAAAGTAAAAAGTACCAGGAAAAATGAGAAAGATGGATAAAAGCTATAGAGAAAAAAAAAAACCTGGATTTGGAAGAGAGTTACAATGCTGGCAGCGTTATGCGGGAAACGTCTCTGAAAAATCCTCCTCTGTGGAAGAACCAAAGGCTGCTAGTGTTGGGTGGGGTGCTGGTGTTGATCATTCAGGCATGTCATCTGCACGCGGGAATGCTCTTGGATGGCAATGGTTTAAGGATCCCAGATTGGATTGCCTTGGTTTCAGAGGGATCTTCCCGTCGGATACAATACGCCAGTTTTTAACCCTTTGCTGCTTATGAGCTTTGTATGTGGTTTCTGCTTCACAAACGGCGAAAGGCAGAGAGAAAACAGAAAGAAAAGAGTTGTCCGTGGAATCGTGGGAGGTTACAGAGTCTGTGTGAGGAAGAAGTTTCATCAGAAAATGGGGAATAGAGGAGAGACGTGGGTGGGTGGGTTGGTTTTCGCTGGTAATCAGTGAGTTTGAAAACTGTACGGAAACTATGCAGTTTGAAAACTAAACGTGCTAATTCAGCGACGATTCCGAGAAAGCCGGAGCGCGGGCGCAGGAGCGAAGCGGCGACTTACGTATCCAACACCATGGCAAACTCTCTAATTATTCTCCAGCCTTTCCCCACGTTTGAAATTCTTCCTTTTTTTTTGTCAATTTTTTTTTCTGTTTTATTTACACAAATGCCCATGAAACATTTAGTTTCATAATTTACTTCAGTTTTAATTTTTTTTGTTTCAAGGGCTTTTGTGTCCAGTTTTTTTTTGTGAAGCCTTAAGACACCAAAACAGACTTCTGGCATTCTATTGGTAGAGATTTTTATAGAAAAAAAAAAGATAAAAAAGAAAGTGTGAGTAGAGGAGGAAATAAGAGAGAAATAAAAGGAAATAATCTTACTCTGGCAGAGAGTGGGAATGAAGGAAAAGGAAGTTTTGAATTTGTGAGGAATTTTTTTGTGAGTAAGATTCTTTCATTTCCTATTCTCGCCTTCTTTCTATAAAAAAATAATATAAAATATTGACGTGATTTAATCGTGACCGTTCAAATAAGAACGGAGAAAAGAAGAGGAAAGAAAAAGGGTTAGAATTGTCCTCCATTTCTTTGACAAAAAAAAATAATAATTGTGGGGAATTTTGTGGTTTCTTGAGTTTTAGTAGTTTCGTGATCACCCCATTACAATTGAACAAAATATTCAGCAACTTGGCTAAATCCCCTTATTCCTTGTTTCTTTTGCTAGTTTATCCTTCCACTACGATACCTTTTCTTTTTTAACCAAAAAAAAAAACTTTTGGCTGAAATGATTTAATTCTAGTCCTTATTTTTAGATTGTTCAAAATTAAATATTGATAGCATATTAATTATATATCAATAACACAATGATATGATGTTGACGACATATTAAACTGATTATTTCAACAAAAAATCCAAAACTTCATAATGAAAATCCACAATTACAATTTGTAACCAGTACTAATATAAGTACAGTGCCGGCCTTGAGGGTGTGCAAGTGGTGCCACCGTACAGGGCCCCCAAATTCGGAAGGCCCCGATTTAAGATTTTACTTTACCTGTATATTTCATATATAAATTTAAACGTGCAAAGATATAATCAATTGTTCTCTCAGTGCAATTATCTTGAGCGTATTATCCTTAACCTAGGAGCTGGGTTCGAGTCCTCCCAGGGTTGGTTTTTTTTGTGTGTTTTATTTTTAATTATTTTGGTATCTAAAAGCATGGTTTTGTTTGTGTTTTATTTTAATTTTTTTTGGTATTTAAAAGCATGGTGTTTTAAACCCAAAAACTTAGGGGAGGCAAATAGGCACCTAGCTACCACACTAAGAATTTTTTTTTTCCTTTACATTATTATTTTTTATGATTAAAAATGTAAAAGAAAATATAGCAACTATAATGTTAGACCTTTTAAGGGTTTTATTCTCTCTCTTATATATATATATATATATATATATATATATATATATATATATATATATATATATATTTTTTATAAATTAGGAGTTTCGAACTCAAAAACATAGGGATACAAATAAGTACCTAACCACTGGTCCACCACACCTAAATTTGTTTTTTTTTTTTAATCTCAATTCATTCATAATCATAAAAATTAAAATGTAAAAGAAAACATAGCAATGAAAATTCTATACAATTTAAGGGCCTTCGTTAAAGTCTTGCACAGGGCCTCCAAAATCTCAGGACCGGCCCTGTATAAGTAAAACAAAATTCAATCTTGCTTCAGAGAGCAAGCACCATTTTCAAATTCAAGTGTCATGGCTAGACAAGTCAATACTAGTGGTAACGTCTACTAAAAAAGTTTGCCTCCTTAAAGACATGCTTCTAAGAGATAGTTGAAAAGAAACCCGCAAGCTACTTCATGTCTTCAATAATGGCATGATTTTTCTAGTGTACAACATTTATAACTCAATTAATAAGTTCAGAGTCCCCTTCCACAAAATACGACTAAACCTTTTGGACTCCGCGAACTTTAAAGCATCACGAAGAACGAGAACCTCCATTACAAAAATAGTGTTTTCTCTATTATTGCGTGCTGCAACAATGATAGATTGCCCAACTTGTCCCGTATCCAGAAGCATTAGGCCCTATGTCATTTAGATCTCAAGAGGCGACTTCACAAATTATTTGAAGAAACATGCGAGAGTAAATTTTCTCCCGGGATTGAATTGACGAAAATCTACCCACATAAAGAAAAGAGACAAACGAAGTTAGATATACACATGTGTAGTGTTAGCCAAATGGCCTATGATGCCTAAGTAAGAAATATTATAGGAAACAATAAAAATATTGTGAGAGTTCTTAATTACCGGAATAAAGTGGATGACCTTGGCTATCTATAAAGAACAAAGGAGTTAATCCTAGCATCCAGATTCGTTGAACATTTTAACATAATGTTACCCAGTCTGCATACTAATGGAGGAATGTTCCTATGAGATTCTTAGAATATGCTTCAAAGAGTCTTGCCATGCTAAGAGGTTGATAAGCAAGCCCATTTTATATCAGGGTTGCCCAGGTAGTGTGACGATTGACTTGGACTATTTGCAATGAATTGGGCTCGACGCCCTATTGATTTTGGGCTCCTAGGGCCTTAGTAGAGAATGTGGCCCGTTAACCCATTAGAGTTCGACTAATAATTTGCGTATTTCATCAAGGGCAGAATAGTCATATTTGATAAGCTATGCACGTAGTGTGTTCCCGTAGTCGGGATATTTTACGTTCCATAAATGCCCCTACTTTTTAGGGTAGACGCAGGAAGCCGAAAAAGTTGTAGTTTGTAATCTCCCAATTAATATTGCTCTTCAAAATCAAATAGGAAATTGATGTTCAAGGTGGAAAAGGAAAACAATCTTCAAAGTTGAATGGGAAAACAATCTTCTTCCTTAATCTCAAAATTGGCTTGGGAGATTTACTTCCTTCAGAATTCCTACAATGAATGTGACACTTTTCTTTCGCATCACAGATATTAAAGTAAGCATTCATTGGGAACAAAGAGCAATCATTTTCTTATTTTTTTGGAGAGCATAAAAAATTAAACTCTGCGTTGATGTTGGAAAAATAAGAAACCGCCGAAAAACCTTTGGCGCTACAGTTATTAGTGCGTGCAAGTGTGCTTGGTTACGGTGCTGGCAGCTGGGTGTCTCCACTTGGGTCGGCTTGATTTGACTAGGAATTGTTCGGCTATTGATGTCGGGGCTTGGGCCGGTGCTTTCTATTTTAAAATTCTTAATCTTCGTCCTTCTTTTCTTTGATAGGTGAATCATGTATTCTTCAATGAAATCCACAGTTCAATATGAGTCTTCTAAGTTCTTTTGTACAAACGAGGCGGCTTGCTCACATTTGTGAACCTTTTTGTTCTTTCTTTGCCGAATCGGATACTGTTAAGAGGTATCGTGATTTGGGGCAAGATAACATTTTCGTTTTTCCTTAAAGAGTCAAAGCTAAGTTGGTCGGTGACTATTCTGACCTTGAATGGTGCGTGAATGAGAATAACCTCGAGACACATTCGATTAAATTTCACCCATTCTATATATCTTGAGGGTTTAAGTTTCTCAACACTCGGTTTTAGTATTCCCGCCCAGTTGGCGTCGAATGGATATAGAGCAATGATGTGCTTTTCCAACTTGAGTGAGTTCTTCAAGGTGGAGTCAACCTTCCAAGAGTCCTTTGATTTTTAGATAAGGCGTATTGGGTCTTATAGCATTTTAGGATATAAAGATCAAGTTGTTAAGCGAGCCAAGTCAAGTGCCCAACGTTTGAGATCAACAATAGTTGGAAAGCTGAGAATTATGATATGTAAATCCCGCAGTGCCCTGCTCTAATAAGCATTCTTTCTTAGATGTTTTTTTTCTGGAATAAAGATGTTCTGCTTCTAAGTGCCCCCATGCTAACTGAAATGTGTGTGTTTTTTTTTTTTTTGTTAGGGGAGTCGATCATGAAGAAAATCATTATCAATCGAGCATGTTAAAGGGTTCGGTGTGCACTAACCATTCCTGCCGGATAGAAAGAGTGACGTTTGTTGTTGAGCCCTCTGAGGTATCAACCGAGTGGTCTACCCCCTGCCGAAGAAGTGAAAGGCAAAACTTTGGTGTCACCTGCGCCACAAAATGGGGCTTCTCGTGAATCTGCAATGCCTTCTGACAAAAGCAAGAAATAATGAACTTGCTATCAAATTCGAAGTGAAGTGGTCGTTTCGCCTACTCGTGGTGATTCTCCACCTCACAAAAGGCATAAGGTAGATGATGTCCTGCTCGTCAAGATAAATGATGCCCCAAATTCCAAGAATAATGGATGACTCAGAAAGTGGATTATCCCCACTGGTGGGGTTAACCGAGCTTTCTTTGGCATACATGTCAGTTGGTAAAGTGATCTAGCTGAGAGGAATAGGAGTTATCTCTCAATAAAAGCACCCGCTATTAGAACCGAATCCGCGCACCTCCATGAGTGGTTGTTGGTACATACTCAAGCAACTTGCAAACAGTAAACAACTGTGAGCAAGCCTAAGACCAGGGGGTATGCCGGCCAAAGGCTCTTCGACGGTCAAGTTAGTAATGATTTCAGACTCAAGAGTGGTAGAATTCAAGTGTCTAGATTGTGTTACCATAAATGAATCCTAGATGGGTGTACTTATAACGTGGCTAGAGAGACTTTTTTAGGATAAAATCCTCGTTCTAAGCTGGGAGAATACCTATAAGTAGATATTGCACCCTCTTAGGAGTTATGATAACTTGCGAAGTACGCCAATTCCTAGGTTTTAGGAACTCCAAAACTTAAAGGATCTGATTTTGTCTATATTTGGATCAGATTGTGTATCTTGCGAAACAAGCATAGTCATCGACTCCGCCTATTCAGACAGGATAGGGTGATCATGACACCGTTAGTCTGTCTAATACAACTTCGCTGGAGCTTGTGAGTCTATAATCAAACTTCTGAGGTAATTGTATTCGGATCAGCCTTACTCTGGCCTTAAAAAATCATGGTCCCACGTATATTTCGTCAGGGGTGCATTGCATCTCGATGTGCCCCAAGAGCTGGCTCACCATGGTTGTTTAATGGGTGAAGGCGTCTGCCAAATCAACGACTTACCGAAACTGGTGTTGATCATCATTTAAGGTGGAAGTGCTCGGATGGTAGGTGTCTTCGTAGGTAGTGGAAGTGTAATGGACCCAAATGTAAAATTTGAGCCGAGATGGGTCAAATCTACGGAAAAAACAAGGAAAAATACTCTCAATTCAATCGTCGATGTAATGGTCTATCCGGCCTGGGTCGGAGCCAGTCTGGAACCTGGAGCTAGGTTAGTTGAACCAGTCTGAAGATGTGGTCGGGCTACTAGTGCAGGTTAGAGCTTAGGTTGAGGAGTGGGTCAACCCGTATAGCCTTAGAGCGCGCTTGCCTCACGCTAGGCTTAGGCATATACATGTTAAGCAACTTTGGGTGCTACTAGCCCACGGACTGGGCTGCGTGCACATTGGAGATGCGTTGGGGCTTCTAGAAGCTAGGCTGCTTCATAGGCTCTGATTACTGCTACTGCAAGTGCCTAGGCCTGGGCTTGGACTGCTGCAGTAGCGATGTCTAAAACTTGGCCTGGGGTCATAACTTAGGCCATTGCAGTGGTTGACGCCACTGCTAACATGGACGCAGTGGTAGTGAAGCTTCAGTCGTTGTGTTGAGCCTCAAAAGTGGCGATGTGGGGTCATGTTATTGTCTCCATCATTTGGTCCATATCTTTGAATGTAAGGTGTTTCATTCATTGTGGTTTCGAAATTTCTCACCATTGGATTTTTCTTCCCAAGGTTATTCAAAGAACTTATAAAAATTCTATGAGTAGGAACGTGTAGGAAAATCTACGTTGTAATATCCCAAAAATTTTAAGTGGTGGATTAAAAGTGGATTAGTTGTGGCCATTGTTAGTAAAATTAGTTTGCCTTATTTGAGGTTTAGACCAATTGGTCTTTGGCCCATTAAAAGATCTTTTACTATTGAGACTAACCCTTGGTTAAAAATAAATAAATAAATCCAAATATTTTTTTGGGGAATTTTCAAAAAATGATCCATTTTCTTAATCTTATGACTAAAATAGGACAAATCTGTCATGCACAAGTCATGCACAATGTGCACAAAACTGAAATGACGAAAATACCCCACATATGAATAGTAAAAATTCACATGTGATGACGTCATTTTTCTGGGTTGGAAGAAAGGAATGTCGAGAAAGAGGTATGAGCTTTGGGTTTTTTGGTTGAGCTCAAATGTGTGAGCCTTGATTTCGAAGAGAGGGAAGTACAGGGAGGTTAAAAGAGTGAGCTGGGTTTTGGGTTAACCCTATACCTCTGATTTCAAACACAGGGATGTCGAGAGAGAGCTGAGAAGAGTGAGGTCCGGGTTTTCGGGTTTGAGATCAAATCTAGAGCTATGTGTGTAATTGTTCCATAACCAAACACAACAAATTGTTCCATCCTTAAAGATAGGAAGTTTGTACCATATTTTTGCTTTGACCAAAAGTTTCATTTTTTTCCTACGACTGAAGCCTCTGCAAACATAATAAGGTATGGTGTTTAGTTCCAAGTTTCTACATCAATGACTTATGGAATAAATAGATTGTTTGTAAGGTAAATTAATACTTAGAAGTTAAATTAGGGTTTGCATTTCATTTTGGGGCCTATAGGTTGTGGAATAAACTTTACTTTTTGACATGCTACAAAACTGGGATGGAACCATTTTTGGTTGAAGTGTTGGATTGCAGAAATTTGTGAAATTTTTTCCGTAATGTGCATGTGGTGTGCATACAATGTTCATGGTTATTAACGACAACGAGTATTATGCTTTCCACATGCACGGTTAAGCAGTGGTTGATATAAGTAACAAGACTTTACAAACTATCACTGTAACCTTTCATATGTAACAGTTATGTTTAAATTGTATCACTATACCAATAGGTTGCCATTAAAGTTTCGTATTAAGGTGAAAAGTAGCTCGTTGCTCAATTTCCAATTTTGTGCATACCATGTGCAGGAAATGTACATATAATGTGCATTCCGTGTGCATATCATGTATATGGTGCGTATTTACATATTTGATACTCTTCGCATTAACGTAGTTTATGACATGGTAGGCGCTAAAGATAACAAGGATACATATAGTCCTAATTTTTATTTTCATATAATAGTTTGCAAATACATTGCACAACTACATTACATCTAAGCCTTCAAATTAAGTCTACCATAACTATTAAGCATAAAGCTCACCGAACAGTCACCAATACTAAATTTTATTAAACGATGAGACCTCCTTCATTGTCAAAGAATCCCATTGTGGTTTACAAGGCTCATTTCCCTTCGCTATCTCACAAAAATCCTCAACCCCTTGTTGTGTTCTTCCTTCATTTCAATCTTTCCCTCCTAAGAACGCTCGTACGACTCAATATGGTTGCGACGCTTCTGCTACAATTTAAAATTTAGGGATGAGTCCTTTCTCGAGATGTGTTAGCCTTCATTTTTTGTTTGCTTGCACGGTAAAGTGCTTCATTGGCTTTACCGTTGAGGTCTACAAGCTTTTTTTTTGCCTTCATTAGCTTATGGTTCTAATACTCAACGGCATCCGTCTCATAATTGAGTCTCCCATAGACCTGATCTATACTTTTCAGCAGTGTCTCCAAGTCGACAAAGCTAAACGATAATGTAGGATTTGCCTTGGGTGATCCTAGAAGTGGAGAAGGTTCCATGTTGTACCACCCATGGAACTTGGGGTTAGAACCCTCAGTTTCATGTCTGAACTTTGACATTTGGTGTTGTGAATTGTTTTGGCTATCTGAGAATTGGAATCGCTTTTTGGTATGGGTATAATTGTTGTGGCAAATAAGTGTGAGAAGCCTATTTATACAACTGTATCATTGATGTGAAAGAAAACCCATTGGGTAAAAGAGAGATTGTGTTGAAAGTGTTTGTGTGGTGAGGATTTATTGCATGTGACCTACAAAAGTTGTAGGAATCCTAGGCTACTTCATTTTCAACATATATGTTAGTCTATTATCAAATCACACTCCCTACTTCATTTCCAACATATAATATAATACTATAGGTTAGGGAAATTGATCAGTGGCGAAGCAACATGGATGGAAGGGTTGGTCCATGCCCATCCTACAATTTTTGTAATATATATTAATGGTGTGCAAGTATAAACACTATTAAGCATCATGTCAGTGAGTATAGTTTGGTAGTTTCAACAACGCATGGGTTTGAAACTTGATGGGCTTTACATCTTTTTTTGTTTTTTTTTTCCTATACCCAGCCTTATGTTTTACCATACAGAATTCTATTCCTTTTTGGTTCTATACAATTTAGAGGAAGATCTAATGAATCCCTAGATCTAATTATGTTCAAAGAAAATGTCATAGTAATATAGTTTTGAGTCATGACTTTAATTTTTTATTCTAATTTAATGCGGTAATTTTTTTTTATTAAAGCTCGTAAACAAGTTTTATTCTTATGATATAATCGATTCAATACTCATTTTTCATATATACCTTAAAACTCCTTCTCTCCTATTTGAGTAAAATTGACCATCCTAATGTGTCTTAGAAATCCATAAGCAACTCTATGGCCAAGGAGTTTGTTACATATCATGTGCATATAATGTGCATAACATGTGCATATAATGTACATATAATTCATGTATTTGTGTTTGAATATGATTATGATAACATGATTTTGTATGTATAATTAACAGGGATTTGTATATATACCCAACAATTGGCCATTATTCTAGAATACTGATCTTATAATTCATGTATTTGTGTTGGAATACGATTATGAAAACATGGTTTTCATAATATGTGTAATCATGTGTGAAGGTATACCGTAACTTTGGTGTACTAATATACATATTATTGTAGTGAAATATATTAATTAATTAATAAAGAAAAAATAAAACTTTTTAATTAATTGTGAAAGATATGATTGTTGGGGGTATTTGAACGGGGATATTTGTAACTTCACCATAAAAAGGTTCGTATCAGAACCATTCCTTTCCAAGGTGAAATTGTTGCAAACCGTCATATCTCTTCCCCTAATTGTCCAAAAGATACAACCATATATTTAAGTTGTATTCATAAGGGTTTGTGTTTTATTTGAAAACCACAACTTCTTAAAACTAAAACCATCTCTACGCCCATACAAAGTCAAAACCACAAAATTTTCAAACCAAAAGCAACAGCAAAAGCACAAGTTCTTGTCCAAAAGATGAAGAAAGCCAAAACTACCTCAACACCCATACAATCTCTTCCCAACGAACTTCTTCTCCAAAAACTGATAAAGGTTGCGTCCCGGTACCTGTTTTCAGCAGAGATGGTGTGCAAGAAGTTCAACCAAATCGTTCAAGACGACCACTTATTCGAACACGTCAACATTAGGGAATTTGAAGGCTTCAACCCCCTTACTTCATGGACCAATAAGGAAGATGTCTCCAAGTTCTTGAAATGGTGTAGGGAGTGCGGCAATTCCTACGTCTTGTACATGCTAGGGATGACATACTTCTTCCAAGACAATAAGAAAGAAGTCAGAATTGAGGCTATGAAGATGGCGATCTCAAAGGATCATGAAGTAGCAACATACGTCTACGATTTCATCTTGTTGTCATCTTGGTGCTTACGTTAACAAATAAGTAAAAAAGGTAAAGTTTATTGTTCTAGAAAACCCTCTTTCTTGCTGCTTTCTTCTTCAACCGAGGGAGATGAAGAGGTTCCTCTCTTTTAGCTCTTGCCAAAATTTTAGGAGGAGGAACTTAGTTTTCTTTTCCTTTGCTTGTGAAGATTTGGACTAGTAAGATTCCTTCCTTCGTCTCCATTAGAGGTATCTATTTCTTACATTGAAATTTATTAGCTATTTGGTTAGATAACCTTTGAATTAGATTTGGTGGGAGTAGGAAAATTGAAAGTATATTTTCCATGTTATAGTTTTAAGGATGAGCACTAAGTGCTTGATTAAAGTCCTCAATTAAGCTTGAATTAGGGTCTGTTGGTCTGGTATTTTGTACAACCAGTGAGTAATGATTTTTCTTACTCATAGATATGGAAGAGAAGGATATCAGGTGACTACGGAGCAGGTCGACAAACACCGTGGGAGTTGAACATCAACAAATTTTGTTGAGGTAGGGGTGTTTTAATATAAAAAAAAATATTTGGTTTTTATTTGGATTTTTTCCTTTTGGTTTGATGAAGGAATTGTTGGCGTTCTAGCTCCATTTCGAGCTTGCTAAAATGCTTTTCCGTTTTCGACTATGTGAAAGAAATGAAGCAGATGTTTCAGTATGGTTTGATTCTAATGACTTTAATTTTCTTTCTACAACTATGGTGTGTTTAAAGTAAAAAGGTTTTTCAAGATTGTGTTTTTTATGTGCATGCCTTTTATTTTACTCGTTATGAAATTTTGAAGCATGTTGAGATGAATCTTTGATTGTGAAAGTAGATGGAAAGTAGTATAATACATCTGCAATGAGAATGTTGTGAAATGTATGAATGGGTACAATGACCCGTGAAATTGTTAGATAATTGATAAGCTCATATTTATATATATTTTACATAAAATTCACTTGTCTTTTCTTAGTTAGTTCCTTATATTTTTGAGCTATTTACTATGTTTTTGTGTTTTGTGTGATTTATCAAGCAAAGAAAAGAAAAGTAGCACAAGTGAATTATTAAGTAACAAATTCGTCAAAACTACCTGTGCAGATTATCTGACTTTGGAAGCATGTTACAAACCGCTCAGAATGAATGAGAGAATGAGCCTTATATGCATGGAAAGCTACGGATGTCTATTTTCTGGAGCAATTTACGGATTGTTAATCTCATTTTTCTAGAAGAAGTTATGGGCATTGTAACACTGAAAGGTTAGAAAGGGCTAAGCAGTTTTGGCTAATAAAAAGAGAAAGGCAACACATGGGCAAAGGAAACACACACACATGGGCAGAAAATGGGTGGATTGTTGGCTGAAATAATGAAGAACATGTGTCTACAAATGCAAAGGAAAAACACACACACATGGGCAAAGGAAACACACACACATGGGTAAGAATTGTGTGTGTTTTGTGGTTGAAATGATGAAGCATGTGTGTGTAAATGTAAAGGAAAATATGGCAGAAAATTGTGTGTGTTTGGTGGTTGAAATGATGAAGCATGTGTGTGTAAATGTAAAGGGGAAACATGACAACACACACCCACACAAGCTGCACATGCAAAGGAAATGGAGTGGTTCTCTCTCAAGCCTATAAATACCACCTCCCATATTCATCAACACAACAGTTTTTTATCCATCTTTGCCGTGAGTTCTCCACCACCATTCTCTCCAAATTCAGCCAAAAATCACCCCTAGCCACACCACCCATCAACCCTAAACATTTCCATACCATTCCCCATCCATTCTACACCATAAAAACCACCCAAAACCTGTCCACAAGCTTCATGCCGCAGCAAGGAGGAAGGGAGATCCATTGATGCACCTGTTGTCCAAGTTGGAGCATTTTAGGTGTTTTCTTTCCTTGATTTTAATGTCTAAATTTATGCATCTTTGCTTTGTGAGTATGAGGAGCTAAACCCCTCTTAGTTAGGGGGTGATTCGAAACTATGTTCATGCTTGCAATATGATTTGATTACATCCAGTTGTGATTCATAAGTTGTGAATTCAATTTACTTATCCGTTCGTATAAAAACTGATTTGTGTATGTTGGTTGAAAGTGCACGCTTAATTTTCATGCATGAATTTGACGCTAGAATATAAGGGAGTTTCACCTAATCGTTATGAACTTATATTCACAAGTAGTGAAGGTTGCTAGTCACAATCACGTTAAGTAAATTCTTGGCATAAGTTTCATGCAAATCATAGTAACGAGTGCCTCGTCAATGCTTATGTTTTTCATAGAACTTAATGATTCTTGCTTGTATCTCTATTATGCAATTCATGTAGGGAACTTGTAGGGAATGTTTTGGGTTGTCGTATGCAATCATCCAACCTAATAACTTGTGGAAAAAACTGAGGGTTAATTAGTGCAATTCACGGTTAATTTGGGGCGTTGAGTATTCATAGTTTATTGAAAAGCAACTGGAAATCGTTTTGTATGCAAGTGTGACATGTGTGGAGAAGAACCTCCTAGCTAGCCTTCCATCCATAAGTTTCATTCAAATTCATTTACAATCTGTTTTGTTTTACAAAGTTTGTTTTGTTTTCAAATTCGTCAAGAACCAATCTCCCATTTATTTCAAAGTGTTAGATTAGTTAGTAATCACTTTAGTTTGTGTTTTTAAGTGTCTTGAGTCAAGTCATAACCCAATTTCGTCCAATTTAGTGTTAGGTGTTCAAAATTGCCCAGAAAGTGTTTTTAAGGCAGTTTTGAGTGTTTATTTGTTGTTTTGAATCTTTTTGTTTATCTTAGTATTTTAAAAGTATAGTTTTGCATTCTTTGAGTCTAGTTTAGTGTTTTAAACTTTGTTTTTACGTTTTCAAGTCAGTTTCCAAGTGATTTAGCAATCCCTCCTAATCCCCGGCCTAGAACGATCCCTACTTACATACTTTACTACATTTGATAAAAAGAGGGTTTAATTTGTGTGCTTATATATTTCGCATCAAATTTTTTGGCGCCGTTGCTGGGGATTAGCAACTTTGCTAATCCCCCGTTGTTTCTTTTTCATGTCTTTTGTTTTACTTTTGATATTTGATTTAGTTTTCTTTCTTTGATTTTAGGTACTAGAGAAGTAAGACATGGATTTTGCTAGCATTCAAACTCAATTGGCAAATCTTACTTCTCAATTGTCACAGTATGCCGAAAAGACCACAATGCAAAGTGTCCCTACATTTGGTGCGTCTTATAGGCAAGGATATCAAGCCAATCAATGCCCACAAAGAGATTGGAGTGATCATTCAAACTCTATGTGGTGGGAAGCTCAACAAGTTCAACATGAAGGATATTGGCAGCCATATGAGGAGTTCTATTCAGGACCTATGCAGCCACCACAACCTCATATACAATATGCCCAATCAAACTCAGACTCGTCAATAGATTACAATCAAATTCTTAATGAATTAAACTCTATGGTGCAGGGCTCACAACAAAAAGAATATCTGCCACCATCGGAGGAGTTCTATCACTGGCCATATCAACCGTCACAGTCACCACAACAATCTGCCCAATTCAATTTAGGTACGTCTTTGGATGATGATATGTTTAATAAGTTACTCACCTCTTTGAACCAGAAAGTAGAAAATCAAAACAAAGAGATACAAAACCAAGCCAAGAAGGCGAGTGAATTGGCAGATTATGGAGTTCATGGCACAAATTCAAGAGCAGAGTGAACTCCCCAACTCAACTATTGAAAATTCGAAGGAAGATTTTGAAATCCATGATGCTATCACTTTGAGAAGTGCTATGGAGGTTGAAGCTAACCTAAAAACATCCAAACATAGCCTAGAAGTGGATGAGGAGCTGCTGATTGAGGAGGAGGAAGAAGACATACACACGGAAAGAGTAGAACAACCCTTGCCGCAGCCCCTTAAGCCCTCTAAACCACCCACCACAAGTAAGGACGTCCCAATTTCATTTCATTCTAATGTTATTCCTCCGAACGTCCTTTTTCCTCGTAGGTTTTTTATTCCCAAGAAAAAAAAGAGTGAAAAAGACATCGTGGAAGCCTTCCCAAAGGTGCAAAATGATATTCCAATTCTTGGTGCAACAAATCAAGTTCCAGATTGTGTTGAAATGTTCAAAGGACTTTGTACACCAAGAAGAATGATTCAAGAGAAAGTAGTGGCTGGAGAAGATGTAGAATGCATCAAAGAGGATGTGCTTGAGACAACCATTCCTAAAGAAGTTGAATTTTATGACATGGGACAAGTCCCAACCATCACATTCAATCTGGCCAAGTCCAATATCCCTGAAACTTTCAAAAAAGTGGTGTTTGTCATTGAGTTCTTGTCGGACAAAGCAAGTAAGTCATCTTCTCCAATTTTACATACGTTTTCCACTAACTTGCTAATTTTGATGATTCAGGCACCCACACTAGAATTTACACCATTGCCGGATCACTTCAAGTATCACCTTCCATTCGAAGATCACTTCCATGGAACCTAGGGGAATGTGACGGGAGGTATCGTCCGGCTGCAAGACGTTAAAGAAAGCGCTTCTTGGGAGGCAACCCATGTATTCAAAAAAGGAAGATCTATGAATCGCTCTACAATCAGTTTTGCGTTTCTAAAAACCTTCCCTTTTCTACATTTCTATTTTGCCATGATTGTCATTTTTTTATTTTTGTTGTTTATTTAAATTATTTTTGGGTGTGGGTTTATTTTTGAAACATTGATAGATATGCAAGATATTCTTACATTCATTTTCATGAAAAATAAAATAAAATTAAATTAAAAAAAAAGGAACATTAAGTAAGAAATTACAAGAGGGAGCCTTCACAAAGGCTGCTTAGGAGAAGTCTCAGTAGTCGGCGGAGCCCCAGAAGGAGGAGGCAGCGGAGGTTGATCATTTGGAGCTTCAGTACGCGGTACAGCCCCAGAAGACGAAGGCAAATGTTGTTGAAACAAGCCCACAAACCTCTGATGATCAAGTAAGATCTGACCATCAGATTCCTGCATCTGGTCAATTTTCCTCTTCATGTTTGTGGCATAGTTGTGTGCAAGCTTGTGCAATTGTTTATTTTCATGCTTAAGCCCTCTAATCTCCTGCTTAAGACTCATCACTTCAGCCGCCAATGATTCAACTTGACAGGTTCGGGCAAATAGGCGTTGGGCCATATTGGACACGGAACCTGCGCACTGCACACTGAGAGCCAGAGATTCCTTAACAGCCAGCTCATCAGACCGTTTGGCAAGTAATCTGTTATCTTTATGAGTGACAAGATTCCTGGCCACCACCGCAGCTGTCATATCATTCTTTATCACCGAATCCCCAACGGTAAGGGGACCAGTGGGGGATATGAAGGATGGACGCCATATGTTGTCTGGAGAAGGCGGGGCTGCCTCTTCACCAAGGTTCAAGTCAAAACGACGGTCGGAAGGGCCAGACATTTTTCAGAGGTGTTAAAGAAAGAGGAGATCGGACAAGTCAAGATCGTAGAAGTGCAACACGGGAGTTTTTACAGGCAGAAATTTAAG